TAAAGACTGTTACAAGAGATAAGGAAGGATACTACATAATGATCAAGGGATCAATCCAAGAAGAAGATATAACAATTATAAATGTTTATGCACCCAACATAGGAGCACCTCAATACATAAGGCAAATGCTAACAACAATAAAAGGAGAAATCGACAGTAACACAATAATAGTAGGGGACTTTAACACCCCACTTACACCAATGGACAGATCATCCAAACAGAAAATAAATAAGGAAACGCAAGCTTTAAATGACACAACAGACCAGATAGATTTAATTGTCATTTATAAAACATTCCACCTGAAAGTGGAAGAATACACTTTCTTCTCAAGTGTACACAGAACATTCTCCAGGATAGATCACATCTTGGGTCACAAATCAAGCTTTGGAAAATTTTAAAAAATTGAAATTTTACCAAGCATCTTTTCTGACCACAACATTACGGGATTGGAAATCAATTACAGAAAAGAACCTGTAAAAACCACAAATACATGGAGGCTAAACAGTGAGCTACTAAATAACTAAGAGATCACTGGAGAAATCAAAGAAGAAATTAAAAAATACATAGAAACAAATGACAGCAAAAACACAACAACCCAAAACCTATGGACCCAGGAAAAGCAGTTCTAAAAGGGAAGTTTATAGCAATTCAATCTTACGTCAAGGTGCAAGAAAAATCTCAAATAAACAATCTAACCCTACACCAAAAGCAACTAGAGAAAGAAGAGCAAACAAAATCCAAAGTCAGTAGAAGGAAAGAAATCATAAAGATCAGAGCAGAAATAAATGAAATAGAAACAAAGAAAACAATTGCAAAGATCAGTAAAACTAAAAGGTGGCTCCTTGAGAAGATAAACAAAACTGATAAAGCCTTAGCCAGACTCATCAAGAAAAAAAGGGCGAGGACACAAATCAATAAAATTAGAAATGAAAAAGGAGAAATGACAACTGACATCATAGAAATACAAAGGATTATAAGAGACTACTACAAACAACTATATGCCAATAAAATGGACAACCTTGAAGAAATGGACAAATTCTTGGAAAGGTACAATTTTCCAAGACTGAACCAGGAAGAATTAGAAAATATAAAGAGACCTATCTCAAGTAATGAAATTGAAACTGTAATTTAAAATCTTCCAACAAACAGAAGTCCAGGACCAGATGGTTTCTATCAAACATTTAGAGAAGAGCTAACACCCATCCTTCTCAAACTCTTCCAAAAAATTGCAGAGGAAGGAACACTCCCAAACTCATTCTATGAGGCCACCATCACCCTGATACCAAAAGCAGACAAAGATATCACACAAAAAAGAAAATTATAGACCAATATCACTGATTAACATAGATGCAAAAATCCTGATCAAAACACTAGGAAACAGAATCCAACAACATATTAAAAGGGTCATACACCATGATCAAGTGGGATTTATCCCAGGCATGCAAGGATTCTTCAATATATGCAAATCAATCAATGTGATACACCATATTAACAAACTTAGGAATAAAAAAACATATGATCATCTCAATAGATGCAGAAAAAGCTTTTGACAAAATTCAACACTGATTCATGATAAAAAATCTCCAGAAAATGGGTGTAGAAGGAAGCTACCTCAACATAATAGGGGCCATGTTATGACAAACCCACACCAAATGTCATTCTCAATGGTGAAAAACTGAAAGCTAACTAAGATCAGGAAAAAGACAAGAATGTGCACTCTTGCCACTCTTATTCAACATAGTTTTGGAAGTCCTAGCTATGGCAATCAGAGAAGAAAAAGAATCCAAATTGGAAAAGAAGAAGTAAAACTGTCACTATTTGCAGATGACATGATACTACTATACATAGAAAATCCTAAAGATGTCACCGGAAAACTACTAGAACTAATCAATGAATTTGGTAAGGTTGCAGGATACAAAATTAATACACAGAAATCTGTGGTGTTCCTATACACTAACAAGGAAAAATCAGAAAGAGAAATTAAGGAAACAATCCCATTTACCACTGCAACAAAAAGAATAAAATACCTAGGAATAAACCTACCTAAGGAGGCGAAAGACTTGTACTCAGAAAACTATAAAACACTGATGAAAGAAATCAAAGATGACATAAACATATGGAGAAATATACCATGTTCTTGGATTGGAAGAATCAATATTGTGAAATGACTATACTACCCAAAGCAATCTACAGATTCAATGCAATCCCTATCAAACTACCAATGGCATTCTTCACAGAATTAGAACAAAAAGTTTACAATTCGTGTGGAAACACAAAAGACCCCGAATAGCCAAAGCAATCTTGAGAAAGAAAAACGGAGCTGGAGGAATCAGGCTTCCTGACTTCAGGCTATACTACAAAGCTACAGTAATCAAGACAGTATGGTACTGGCACAAAAGCTGAAATATAGATCAATGGTACCAGATAGAATGCCCTGGGATAAACACACACACGTATGGTCACCTAATTTATGACAAAGGAGGCAAGAACATACAATGGAGAAAAGACACCCTCTTCAATAAGTGGTGCTGGGAAAACTGGACAGCTACATGTAAAAGAATGAAATTAGAACACCACCTAACACCGTATACAAAAGTAAACCCCAAATGGATTAAAGACCTAAATGTAAGACCATACACTATAAAACTCTTAGAGGAAAACATAGGAAAAACACTGACATAAACCACAGCAAGATCTTTTTTGACCCACCTCCTAGAGAAATGGGAATAAAAACAAAAATAAACAAATGGGAGGTAATTAAACTTAAGAGCTTTGCACAGCAAAGGAAACCATAAGCAAGACAAAAAGACAACCCTCAGAATGGGAGAAAATATTTGCAAATGAAACAACAGATAAAGGATTAATCTCCAAAATATACGAACAGCTCATGGAGCTCAATATCAAAAAAACAAACAACCCAATCCAAAAATGGGCAGAAGACCTAAATAGACATTTCACCAAAGAAGACATACAGATGGTCAAGAGGCACATGAATAGATGCTCAACATCACTAATTATTAGAGAAATGCAAATCAAAACTGCAATAAGGTATCACCTCACACCGGTCACAACAGCCATTATCAAAAAATCTAGAAGAAAGGGTGTGGTGAAAAAGGTGCCCTCCTGCACTGTTGGTGGGAATGTAAATTGATAAAAGCACTATGGAGAACTGTATGGAGGTTCCTTAAAAAACTAAAAATAGAATTACCATATGACCCAGCAATCCCACCGCTGGGCATATACCCTGAGAAAACCATAATTCAAAAAGAGACGTGCACCACAATGTTCATTGCAGTACTATTTACAATATCCAGGACATAGAACCAAGTCAGAAAGAGAAAAACAAATACCATATGCTAACGCATATATATGGAATCTAAAAAAAAAAAAAAGGTACTGTTGAACCTAGTGGCAGGGCAGGAATAAAGATGTAGACATAGAGAGTGGACTTGAGGATATGGGGGGGAGGGAAGGGGAAGCTGGGGTGTAGTGAGAGTAGCATCGACATATATACACTACTGATTGTAAAATAATTAGCTAGTGGGAAGCAGAAGCATAGCACAGGGAGATCAGCTTGGTGCTTTGTGATGACCTAGAGAGGTGGGATGGGGAAGCTTAGGGGGGAGGGGTTGTGGGGATGTATGTGTGCATGTGGCTGATTCACTTTGTTGTACGACAGAGACCAACACAGTATTGTGAAGCAATTATACTGCAATAAAGATCTATAATAAAAAGAAGCCTATGCTATAAAATAAAACAAAAGAATGAGACACTTAGAGCAACTTTAGTCCATATTCTTAAATTTTAATTGTTGCCCATATCGAACTGTTGCTATAGAGATCATTTTTGTTATAGCCTGAATGTGCTGTCCCCAAAGGATAAGGGAAGGGGGATTGATTTATAGAGAGCCAGACTGGTTGAGTATGGCCAACTGTGTGAAGACTGGAAATGAAAGTGACAAATTTAGAATTAACCTGAGCCAGCAACAATACCTAAAGGATTTCATCTGTGGATGGCAGAGTGGGGAATTTCAGGTGGAGACATTAGTTTGAAGGTGGCCACCAATTGTTGCTTGAGGTTACAAGTTATAAGGTCTAGTCACCAAGGAGAAGCATCTGATGATAACCAAATACGTTGTTGGGACTTCAGTCAAACAATCTGAATTTCAGTAGCCAGCTCTAGGTCTAGATGCACATGTAAGACAAAATCAGAAAACCAAGACAGAAGGCTAGAGCCAGGATTAGGTACTGGTGGGGGAAAAGAAACAGCTTGGAAGGTTTCAGCACAGTATGCATGATAAAGCCAAGGGATCAATCAAAAAGTATGAGAAGTTTATGACAGGAAGATGATGTCTATAGCCTCAATGACTAGAGCTGTGCAAGGCCTGAGAAGGCAGGGGCTAACAATTTTAAAAGTATGATTTGTATTTAAAATTATGAAAGCAATACATACTCATTGTTGAAAGTTTGAAAAATATAGAAAAGTCCAAAGACAAAAGTCAATGCAATTTTTTCATACTCTAAAAGCAAACTTCTTCTTTGTAAATAGTGAGCTAAATACTTATTCATTTTATTTGCCAGAAGTTTATAACTGAATAATTTTAAGTCATTGTTCATTCTCTTGTATTATCTTCTTAAAAGCAGAGAAATCATAAGAATGAATTAATATTCCCCTGCTTTTAAGGATGTAGTCAAATGCAGATTCTGTCATTTTATGGGAAAAAGGGTAAATATTTAAAAGTAAAAATTATGCTTTTACATAAGAACTAACAGCTATCTTAATCTTATAAGATTTCAAATTCTATTCTTATGTTTTAACTTCCTACTTGTCTAATATTTTGTAAAAAACATATATTGTAAGCACGTTTGGTCTAGGAAATTCCAGAAAGAATCAAAGGTGTGCATAGAAGCAAAGAAACCTATCTGAAGTAGCCTGGCAAATGGACAGAATTTTTTAAAAACAAATAAGACACATGCTGCTGAAAGCCACATTATTGTTACCTTCTCCCTCCAGTTATCACCATTCAGCATCTTCTGTCTAAGGGTTTCCTGCAACAGCTCCATGCTTTTCTGATGTGAAATCAGCATCAATTCCCTGAAAATCATAAACACAACAAATGAGTCAAGACACACCCTTAACACCCTTCTTAAATTACAGTTCGTGGCTCAGGGATTATTTCACAACTCATTCTGTTTATTCTTCTCTTTAGAAATATATATATATACATATGTGTGTGTGTGTACTGCTACTACATACTATTTTAACTGTTGTTAACAGCAATTTAAAAACACTGGCAACAAGGTAAGTATTTTCTCAGGCTTAATTTTTGCTTAATAAGTAATATTATTTTTGCATGAAATAGTAACAACCTATGTGTAGTCGCAAATATAATAAAATACTATACATTGTGGTTCTAAAGTTTATGACTAAATTCTAACACTAGGTAATATTTTGTTTCTTTAAAAAAGGAAAATGTCTTGGGATATGACACAAAATCAGCACGTTTGTGGTTCCTGCTAGATTTATTTTTCTTTTATTTATCTCAAGTGCTAATAGGAACAGACTGAATTAAGCAGAGGGTAATATCTGAGATGTGGAATAGTACAAAACATACTAGAAAATAGGAGAGAAAACACAAAGAACATTTTAATATTTTAATCCACATAATTGGATCTTTTTAAAATAAATTTATTTATTTATGGCTGTGTTGGGTCTTCGCTGCTGCATGCGAGCTTTCTCTAGTTGTGGCTAGTGGAGGCAACTCTTCGTTGTGGTGTGCGGGCTTCTTATTGCAGTTGCGGAGCACCTGCTCTAGGTGTGCAGGCTTCAGTAGTTGTGGCACACAGGCTCAGTAGTTGTGGCACACGAGATTAGTTGCTCCGCAGCATGTGGGATCTTCCCATGTCCCCTGCATTGGCAGGTGGATTCTTAACCACTGCACCACCAGGAAAGTCCCCACGTAATTGGGTCTTAAAGCTAAGTTTGTGACCCTCTGGGTAGAAGTAAGTGTGGGAGATTCATGAGAACATTTCTCCAGGGGCCCTGAAGTTAAGACTTCAAATATCACAAGTGGTGACAAAAGTATGCCTGTTGATCAGGGAGTCCCTCCACCCCCTTCTATAATCATCATAACCCTTCTTATTTTCTGTGTAGGTGATTCTTTTCCATTGCTTATTCCTCTTTCTAATCCCTTTGTTTTCCATCATCACCCACTTCCCTTTAGTTCTGACCCCTTTTCTCAAACTTGTGACTTTCATTTATGCCTGTTAGACATTCATTTATGCCTGTTAGACATCTCCACCCTGATGAGCCATCAACACCAAAGATTCCACACATCAAAAAACAAATTCATCATCATCTCCAATGGTCTTGCCTTTCCTTTTGACTTCTGAAACCTTCAAGAGTCACAATCTTTAGCTTGAAATCCCTGTGTCATCTCTGACTTTTCCTTCTTCTTGTTCTACCACATCCATTCAGTAACAAGTTCTATGTATTCTGCTCCTTGGTGCACCTCGAACTATTTCCTCCCTTCCTTTCCGACTACTAACAGTTAAGGTTCTTGACTTTATTTCCCACCAAGAGTATTGTAATAGACTGTCAATCTATCTTGATCTCTATTCTCATCTCACTCTTACAGTATTATTAAACATTTTTTAATAAAAATAGTGCCTACATTTCTAGGCTAGAAAATTTTCAGGTCATGAACATAAAGACACATCAACTTGGTAACCAGGATTATGAATATTATTTAAGGGAAAATGATTGAAAAGAACAAAACTCCCCAGACTTTTTTTCAAAACTGTGTCAGACTAGGTACTTTGACAACTTTTCTACTGAAAATAAGTAAAGTTTTGTTTTCACTTATAAAAAAAATCTTAAAATTCATCAGTAATCTGGACAAAAAGTTAGGAAGATGCAGGAAATAAAAAACAAGAGAAAGGACAGAAAAAGGTTATCAGTGGAAAACTAGTGAAATTTGAATAAAGTCTATAGGTTAGTTAATTGTATTATACCCATATTAATTTCTTAGTTTTTACGTATGTGCCATGGTTATGAAAAATGGACAAGAGGGACACAAATTCTCTGTAACTTTTCTTTAAATACAAAATTATTCCAAACTAATGGTTTAAAAAAATGAAGTAAAAGGAAGAATCCCAACAATAAGTACAGCATTGAAGCCAATTCTCACCTTGAAGGTACCTTCCAAATCTGATGTACTTGAGCATTAAATTTCACAGCCATGAAGGGCACTGGAGTCAGGAGAGAAAGGAAGAGCTTGAGAGGAAACTCACCTGCATAAAACTGCATCTCAAAGAGGGACATATGCAGTATGCATTTTTGTCATACTGTATGTAAGAATATGAAATTCACACCCAGTATGTGTAAAATACAAATCACATCCCCTCTCAAAAAACAAAAAAGAAATTTCCGGCTTTGAAGTTTGGTGCTAGGTAGAGGGGAAAATACAAATCTCCCACAAGAATTTGTAAACACAAGCCAATCCCAGTGCAGGTTTGTATCCTGAATTCACACTACCTGAGTGGTCCAAAAAGCTTCATATTGAGGCGGTATCTTACAATGGTGTTAGGATAACCTTGCCTCCAGATGCCTGGTAGGAAAAACACCAATATGTTTGGGAGAAACCTATCTTCAACTTGAAACTCAGAGATTCCTACAGATAAAAATTCAAGACCTATGAGACCATAATTTTAAGAATCACAAAATTATTTTTTTAAAGCTAGTAAAAGGAAGAATGAGCAGACACAAATGATAGCATAATCAAAGCCACAAATTCTAAAGTATTTTCAGATATTGAATATAAATAAGGATGTACAATATGTTGGAAGAAATAAAAGATTAATTTAAATGACTAATGAAATCTGAAACGAACCAATCAAACTTATAGAAATGAAGCATACAATAACTGAGATGAAAAACTCAGTAGATGGTCCTATAGCAGATTATTCACAGCTAAAAATGAAGTAATAAACTGAAAGGGAGATTCAAAGAAATTACACAGGGTGCAGTACATGATGTCAAAAATATGTAAAATATAAAAGAGGTTGATATATGGAGGACAGAGTGAAAAGATCTAATATTTCTCTATTTACCATTTCAGAAGCAAATGAGAGAGAAAGGGAGAGGAAGGACATTACAGATTGATGAAAAATACCAACCCATAAATCTAGGAAGCCCAAAGGATTCCAAGCAAGATTAATAAAAATAAATCTCATATCTGGCACCTGGTAGTGAAAATGAAGAACATTGGAATTAAAAGAGATTTTAAAAGACGCTGGAGAGGAAATAAAACATATTGTCTTCAAAGGAACTCAAACACATTGAAAGCTTATTCTCCAATAGAAACAAGCAAGGCCAAAGACAGCAAAATAATATATTAAAAATCCCATGAGAAAATAACCATCAATCTGAAGTTGGGTACCCAGCAAAACTATCTTTCAGAAAGAGGTCGAAATAAAATATGCTCAGAAAAATAAAATCTGTGTGTTTACTGCCAGCTAAACGACTTTTAAAAAATATGCTTTGCAGGAAGGATTATGATCTCAGAAGGAAGGTCAGACGATCAAGAAAAAATGGTGAGCAAAGGAACAGGCAAACACACAGGCAGGGAGGGCTTCTTTGGTGTGTGATCAATTCAGCTGTACAGGGTCCATGTTCTGAAGGGGGCCCTGGGTTTCAGATTTAATACTCTGTGGTCACCACTGAGAAATTCTTAATAACTTTATCTTTGAGTCTGTGTTTTGTAAGTGAGGTCTAATGGGACAGTCAAGCACATGCTGGGGCCTTGGAGCCTCGGCTCACACAGAGTCCTACCTCTCGACACCTCCCTGTCTCCCCAGGATGGTTCTCAACCCTTTTCTCCCTGACCCTTGCCCAGCATCTGCTGTCATCCTCTGATTCAGTGGGCACAGGCATGGGGAATGTTGGGTCTTCCATGTGTGTCCTTTTGGCTGAGTCTGGGACAGGGCCTTGGGTGCCTCTGAGAGCCTGCATCCATGTTACGATTTCTCCATGCCCAAGGGAGCACAAGATTCAATAGCAAACAAACAAAAAAAAGACCCTGACAAGTTGAGAGAAAGATGGTGAAGGAAAGGAAAAAGCTTCTTTTTTTTTTTGAAGGGGCTCCACATTTTCATTTTACACTTGGCCTGAAAATTATGTAGCCAGCCTTGTATGTAAGTACTTGTAAATAAATATCATCTGTATAAAATATTAGTTTTGACTGTGTGTAATCAGTGGGGCTAACAAAAGTATAAAACTAGAACACTAGACAAAAATGTAGAATATAGGATGGCAGGATGGCAACTATAAGGTGCCAGTGTTATTCAAGAGAAGTTTGAGATATTCAAGAGAAGTTTGCTTTATTCAAGAGAAGTTTGAGATATTAATTTTAGACTTCATTAAGCATGCATGGTAAAATCTCAGAAGTAACCACTAAAAGAATAGAATATGCCATTAGAAGAAGATGCACTAAGAAAATAAAAGAATCTCCAACAATACTGCCCCCACCCAAGGCCCAAAAGGAGAAAAGAGTGTAGAAAAAGGGAGAAGTATTGACAGAAAACTTAAAGTTACAATCATAATAATGGCAAATAAACAAAACTCATGAGTTAAGAGAAACAGACTTGATAAAACCAAACCCTAACCCTAACCTTACATATTGGGTTAAGTAAAATATATTAAGATAACTTTTACCTGTTTATTTTTACTCTTCTAATATGGCAATTAAAACTTTTTAAGTGACATATGTGGCTCACATTATACTTCTACTGAACAGCACTGTTATAATCCATATTCTCTGAAAACAAAGAAACGTCAGTAACGAAAGATAAATATCTCCATGTATTTGGAACTTTAAAAAAATGTGTTTCTGAATAACTCTTGGGTCAAATGAAAAATCATAACTGATACTTCAAAATAATTAGAAATGAACAATAATAAAATTTCTACACATCAAAATTTATGAAATATAGCTAAGCAGAAAAGATAAATAAATTGTGGTATACTTCAGAATATAATACAGATGAAGAAATGAATGATCTTCAGCTACATGTAACATCATGGACAAAAATCCC